TTATCACTTTATATTCTGGTGAAATACAGGTATTTATGGTTCATTGAAGACAAAATACAAGTGTATATAATGAAGTGGTTATAAAAACACACTTCACACCTTTGGTAAAAATTGACCACGGGGAGCTGTGTTTGTGAGTTATTAACATATAGGTAATTGTTGACACCTGTCTAAGATAACGCCCTGGGCATGGTTCACACCTGTTGAAACAGATGACTGAGAGATTGTTAACCGTAGCATGTTTTCCCCCCTTCTTTTCCTTTTAAATATATATTCAATTTACAAAATTTTTAATTAAATTTGAAGTCGTTTATTTTCTTTTAGAAAATGAATAGATTTTAGAAATCTAAAACATCATTTAAATCCTATACGAAGAAAATTCAATATCAAGTTTTAAATAACATATATAATTGTTTTGCATACTTTTAGGATTAAAATAAATAAATAAAACACTAAAAGCTAAGACTGCGGATACTATTACCGTGGATTTAAAACCAGTAGAGCACCGCTTTGATTTGAAGCGATTAAATCCCCAGGCATGCGCAGAGGCCAGTGATTTGAGTCGCTCTTTTCCCTATATATTCTATTAAGAGCGACCCTGAGCACTAGCGACAGAAATCACGGTTACACCGGTACAAGCATTGTCGAGTACAGTTGCGGATGTTAGCTGACAGACCCCACTCGGTTAAAGAGGTAAGCTTGATTTTAGGCTAATAAAAACATTCTTCACACCGAAGAAAGAACTAATGATCATTTTTTTAACGAAAAAACACATATGTTTCAATAATTTTATCTTTTTCATCGCTTTAACGGCTTAGAAGTTCCGAAACCAGTGTCACCGTGACAGAAATATGTAGACAAGATATCATCTCGCTGTGTGATTCGGTAACACCATGACCTCTGACCCCCTAATAAGTTCATACAGAATTGAACATATTTTCTCTTCAGTAGGTTCATCTATGATTGATTGATTGTATATTGTTTTACGTCCCATTCGAGAATCTTTCACTCATATAGAGACGTCACAATATACCGGTGAAGGGCTTCAAATTTTGACCTTTACTCGGCACTCAGGGCCATTGAGCAGTGAGGGATCTTTATCGTGCCAACGCCTGCCGTGACACGGGGCCTCGGTTTTTAAGGTCTCATCCGAAGGACCCGCAACTTTCACTTCGAAGTGCCGAGCGCATGGCGAAGGAACAGTTGCTACCTATTTTTTATCAACTTAGGTCTGTCGCGGCCGAGATTCGAACTCACGACCTTCCGATCACGGAGCGAGCGCTCTACCGACTGAGCTACCGTGAACGGTGGTAGATTTGTCATTATGAAATGTTCAATTTACGTCTGGGAGAGAGAGGGAGGGAGAGAGAGAGATTCCCTCTTAATCCCGATTCTCCTATCCATTTACATAGACCAAAAATTAGTTCTATATCGGTCACACCCATTCTTTATTAAATGTTTTCTGATTTCATAGTCAGTCATCTAAGAAAAATATTTGCAAATGTAAATAACCTGACTTACCTTTAAGGACATTGGCAAGTCAAGGTTTTCCGGAGAAAAAAGGTTTAATACATGGGTTTTTTCACTTATGAAATAGTGATTGAGAGTGATCTCCCGTGTAGAATTCTCTAAGCGGTGAAAACCAATAAAGCATATGTTTACAGAGGTAAACAAAAGCACATGTACTTCCTTCAACGGGTAGAATCATCTATACAGCAAGAAAGAAAATTAGTAATGGCTTTGTTGTGAATTGTATTCAAGGGACCAAGATCCAACAGGTTGTCATTTACCATAGTTATGCTCAGTATGCTGGGAAGGGCAAAGATGTGACATACGCTGAAAGGTAGACCGACTGAGATCAGTTCTCAGGTTGTATGAAGGAAGCAGCATTTAGTAACTACGAATAAAATTTGAAATAAATCCATGCCAATATTTTTATGACAATGTGTTTCAATCAATTCAGTCAATTACATGATAGAATCAATCAACGAGTCTGACTCTCTTGACCATTATGATTAATATGTAATTATAGCTGTTAAGGGAAGTAACTCAGAAATAAAGATCGGTGCCGGTATGTTCTTGTCCTGTTTCTATATATACGTTTTCAGCCAAAATATCTAGAAGTCATAGGAAATGAAGATACAATAATGTATATAATACAAAAACTATATGAAATAAGTGGGTTTTTGAAAAATATTATGGTGAAAAATTACGTAGCTCCCTTTTATCAACATTTTACATAGGAAATGCATTGAGAATTGCAAAAACACTGATTTGACAAAATCTAAAAAAGAAGGTTGGCTTGGTAGGTTAAACAATCCAGAATATAGCCTGTTTAGTACAATTAAAGCTACTCAAGAGTTCTTGAAAAATTCTATACTATAACCAGGAACCTTGCCAATGTCCTTAACCAATAGCTACTATGACGCATCTATTGTGCTGAGAACACAATAGGTCTAATATGTTGACGGTGCGACCGTTAGAGCGAGCGCAGATACCTTTCAGTTTTAATTTAGATCGGGCTCGTCAAACTGCACGTGATATTTGCTAGGTCTAGACTCTGATGTCATATGACGTCGTATGTTTGCTGCATTATCAAAACGAAGTCTGAACAGTGCTAATTTTAATCAAGAACGTTAGATCTACTATTTGTCTGCTATATATAGTCATTAAATCAAGGTGAGTTTATTTTTTGTCGAATTTTTGTTGCTACCGCGAGAACGTAGTTTGCAGTGAGATGCAATTCGCTAAGCATTATGGGACCACAGGTAACTGTGGAAAAAATTCATTTGGATCAATGTGTAAAGTCCGAATTTTCTCTTCGCCCAGGCGTTGCTTTAAGAGCTCGCAGTGACGAGCGGCGCTTTGCGCCGCTCGCTGCGCTCGCTAATAGAAAGAAACAGGTGCAATGTTTTTAAACAAATTTCATTGCGTATTCGCCTGGTGTTAATCAGAAAAACGCAAGAGATTTATCCGTTGAGATCCAAACCTTTTAATCATCTCTTTTGAACTTTCTATCACTCTGTTGGGATGCGGGTCATTTTTCAACGGGGTCAATCTCTTATAGGTTGCACATATAAAAAACTGACCCCTAGGTTTCTTTTTCTACAAAAAATTAAATTTTTCTACGGCTAGGGGGTTATTTTTCGATGACCTCCCGGTCATTTTTCTACAGGGGTCATTATTCGTCTTTACACCGGCACGGGTGGGTTGTTATGATTTCAGGGTGAAAGGTCATAGGGAATATATTTACATATGCAATTTCACTACAATTCAAATCTAAATGAAAGCTCAAACGAAAGCACTCAATTTCCGGAGAAAATATGCAAGTTTTGACAAACTTTCATATTTTCTCCTAAAGACACCAAACGAAGCCTGGATTTCAACCAATAAGCATTTGAATGTAATCATTATATTTTATTTTTCAATTAAGGTATATCGCGGGTTTGCTGACGTCACAATAGGATTGGACGTAGAAAGGCTACTGTGTTTACAGTATCAAACTACAAGCAAGCAAAAAATATCTTCAGCAGTATACAGTATAAAATGAATCATACATGTACAGTTAACGACGACGGACCTAATTCATTTCTGCAATAGAGTTTTTATTTAAATTTTGATATGAGGTAAAGTGACTTTTGGTGAGTTAAAATCAATAAAAAAATTATATGGTCATCGATGTAGATTTTTAATGGGGAGCATTTCAAAAGTTGGTGATGGAAACCAATAATTACTATAGAAAGTAATGGGAAATTGCCAGTGTACAATATAAAAGTGATCATTAAAAAAATTCTGCAATAGAATTTTTATTCATATTAAAGGATTATGTAAACAAGACAATTTACTAGCAAATTATGCCAAAAAATAAATGGGTCATCGGCCTTAATTTTTCAGGGGGGCATGTCAAACTCTGGTGTAGGGCACATTTTGGGGAAAAATTATCATTGAAAATACCTTGGCCAAATAAATTCTGATGTTTCATGTACTTATTCTTTAACTTACTTTAACACTAAATAATGATAATAATTTAAAGTGGTTTGCCAATTTAAAAAAAACTCTAAGGATGGTGTCCAAGTATGATATACGTGACTTATGCGCGTATAATACTCTAGAGATGGTCTCAAAGTATGATTTACGTGATCCGCATCCTATAGGTCCCTGATGTAACAAATCATTATCTGCAAGCCTGTTCATTTCAGAAGTTTAAAGTTTTCTGAGCAAACTAAACTCTAATACATGTACATGTATATGATACAGTGTTTATCAAATTATAAATATGCATAGATGGTAAAAGACCAAGTGAATTTTAAGGAATTGTTTCAAGATAGGACTTTTTGGTTTCTGTCTTGTTCTGACACTTTACTCTGTCTTTACTATCTATATAAACTAGAGCTTATATAAGTCTTTTTTGTACAGGGTTCTGTATTTTTTGGACTAAGAGTTTTAAATTGAAATATGGCAAAATTTGGCATTCATAATCAAAATCATTTTTAATTACTCTGATAGACTCATTTTCCACTAAATATGCTTTAATAGTCAACTTAAAAGACAAAATATAAAATCTATGATTGAATACTGATGTCTTAATCATGTTAATGAACTATGATAAACTGTAGAATAAATATTTAAATTGTAGGAGTATCCTCTTTTCTTATCTTTATAAATTAATAATAATCTACAAATTCCAAGACTTTTGATAGTGATACATGTAAATAGGGAAGAAAATATTCATCAGCTTGTCATTTGGGAATTCCTACCCAAAATCTTTACAAAGATATTATTTCAATTGAGAATTCATGTGTCTTTTTACAGGACGTGCATGCTATGGGTAGTAAACTCTACAACCTTTAAAAAAAAAAAACATTTTACAATCATGCACCTGTGTTATTTTACCCTGAGGCTGCTCTCATTGTAAAGAATATAAGGAGTTAACACACAGATATAATACTTTATTCATAAAGTATTTCACAATTCAGGAAAAAATGATGACAGGTATAAAAGATGTAACTATGAAGTATTGAAAAAGTACCAATCAGTATCAAAATGTGCTGAAATATTCAAAAATATTTTGTGTTTGTTTATAATGATTTCACTTCATTTACCTATTAGGTATACAAACTTTAATTTTTTTAACCAAAATTTTATTACAGTTTTATTTTTTTCTGATGAGAAATAACAAAAATGTTTTCATGTTTGGTAAAACCGGTTCACACCAACTGTACAAGTAACTACATGTAGAGTACCTAAATATTTCATCACATCTGTAAATGTAATGAGTAATGTACATGCTGTGTAAATGTACAACAACAATATGCAATTTGTTTTATATGAATAGTTTTCTCAGTGGCTAATCATGTATTCTGATGCTGTAACAATACATTTGTGGAAGATGTACAAAAAAGCAGCTTTTAACGCTTTTTAAATCATTATGACATGCTCATGTATTTGAAAAAACAAAATCACTCTTCCCGAACATTGCTTGAGCTAAGTTTTCATTTACTTTTGTTACATACACCTTTCTGTCTTCATTGTTCTTCCTATGTACAAGTACACAACGAGCCATTATAAAATACATGTAATTGCATCTCTTAATTATGCTTGGAGGTTCCCAATTGTGGCCACACCCTACCCCTGGGGGTCATGATTTGAACAATTCAGAATCTTCACTGTATGGGTGTTGTGATCACCCATTTTGTGGAACGCTCCCTCCTGGTTCTTGGGTCGAGGGTTCCAGCCCAAACAGCAACACTAGCACTTGGCACAATAAAGTGAAAGTTGGAGGTCTTGGATGAGACAGTAAAAGTTGAGGTCCCATGTAAGAGCAGGCATTGGCACGCTAAAGAACCTTCACTCCTCACTGGGCCTTAGTGTTGAGCAAAGGTCTAAATTTCAAGTCATTCACTGCATTTTGTGATTTCTCATAAGGGTTAAATAATCTTGCAAGGGATGTTACATGTAAGTTACAACGATCAATTCATGCTTTGATGCCTTGATGGAAATGCTGTAAATTCAAGTAAAATTTCTGCTAAAGATGGGTGCTCCAACAGATGCAGCAATTTGAGTTATATTGTTGTTTCTACCTGGAAAGAAATCCACAAAAAATGATTGTGATATTCAGATAAATAAATATTTAATCATTATCAAGTATACAGTTTACACATGTAACTAGTTATGATGATTTTTTTCATTGTCCAAAACTTTGACTTTTATGTATTTTTTCTGAGGGAAAAAATATAAAACATATTATTAAATATTGTAGTTTAAATATAATCACAATATGGGAACCAAATTAGGATTTACATGATACAAACAATATATAAAATTAAGTACAATCATACATTTCAAAGTTAGGTGAATAAATAGATAGTAAAAAATACATGAATATACTCAAAGTCAAAATGCATATTCAAACCCTAATAAAGCATATGATTAATGAGCATGTGCAGTGTATAAAGAACAGGAGCAGCAAATAAGAACATATTTCACATTTATCCCCTTTTTAAACAAGAGTGATGTTTTCATTTTTCAAAAGTATCAACACACTCAACTTACCTGATCATGTTGTTTGTAAATAAAAACAAACATGTCTTAGCTAGGGTTTTTTTTCAACAGCAGGTATTTCTTCAGTACATGTATCTCTGTAGATTGTTTTCTGTGGTAAAAAAAAAAATCAATTATTAAATTTGAAATTCAAAATACATGTGAATATTGTGATGTACAAGATAGCATCATAACGACCAATTAGCATGATCAGTGTGATTCAAGTATACACATTTTTAAAGCTGTTTAATCATGTTAATTTTTTCAAAGCTTTGTGCACTGTAAAAGATATGAAGGCAACTTATAATTTTGGAGGAAACAGTTTTGTGAGATAATTCAGATAAATATAATTATCATAGTTAAAACAAATGATTCAAGGGTTCACTTATATAATATGGCACATAATAGCATACTTGATTCTGATGATTCAGCACTTTGGTAAAACAGGGAATGACCAGTTCCTATTTAAATCTACACTTAAAAAGTCTAACATTTCCAATATTTTACTGAGTGGTCATTAAAAAAATCAATGTTTGAGCTCGGAGTGAAATATTGGACCTGCCGATGAGATATTGGACCGGTTACATAACACAATGGACAGGATCAGCTAAATCTCATTAGCATTCATTTGTGTTTGACAGTGACGGAATTGACCGATCACGAGTTTCATCAAAGTGCTGGTAAAGGAAATTTAGATTAAGGAAGCCAGCACAAGATACATGTATTTTAAAAAATAAAAGGTACAGTAACAAAACATTTATTGAGTAACTGTTTTCTCAGGCAAAACGTTTTGTTGAACTCTAAAACCAAACTGTTTGCCTTCATCTTAACACGTTTCCTTTGAACCCAGTCAATAATATATGTATATTGTGAGATGGTATTGCACTCGCATCAAGACTGGAGGACTGACTGAGCAAAAAAAAATTGAAAGGCTCAGGCATGTCAGGCGGCTTCGACATTGTGTCCTTGGAGATACATTGTATTTGTATTGAAAGTGGTTTATTCTATGACAAGAAGCTTTTGATGGAGATACTCTGGTGAAGACAGTGAACTATTATATATTTGCAGTCCTTTCTATCTTAGTTATATTTTACCATAGAACTACAATATTTCTATTTATACTGCTCACAACATAAGCTGGGTTATTTGATTCTATTAGCATGTAGCCAGGTTTATCTGGCTTAGTTCAGCTCGGTCAAATTCTATCAGAAGCAACTATGCTTATAAACTAGGCTACCCTAATTAGGAATTGTCCTTAATGCAATTTATGTTGCATCCAAAATCCTTTTTAAAAAGTTATTGATAAGATTTGTCTGCATTGAAAAACTGTATTAATATTTATGAATAAATAATACCAAATGTAACATTGAAAAAATATATAGGCCTATATTTAAATACGGTTACCTGTTCCAAATGTTCAGTGTTGATGTCAACATGGTCAATCAGAAAGTTTTAGCTTAGGTCCTGGCATTCCTGGTTCTTGGTGTGTTTTCTACTTCATTTACATGTTTACAAACATGCACTTAAAAACTTTTTATGTTAATTAAGTTAAACTCCAGAATGAGATGCCAATATATCTTAGACATTCTTCAGAAAAGATCGTTCTTTCAAATCGATGACATACCCCTGAGTCTTAAAACGTCTTCAAAAATAATACGGGTACCACAGTTAATCGTCTTCGTCAGAAACATCAACTTGAACTTCATGATCATCGTCTCAAGCCACGGTTACCATTCAGAGTCCGCTCATAGGCATAGAACCAAGAATGGGAGAGGATCGTACATTTAGGCCGTAGTATACACAAACCGTTCTCTCGTCGTTTCTTTCTTTTTTTTATTAACATCATACATATGTGTTTTTGTACACCTAGCCTGGTTCCCTGTCCCCGTTTTGCTTCGTGTACTCCGCGTCGCTGCAAGGATGAGCCAGGGCAGGCCTGGAGGTTACTCTGTGCTCAAACTCATACTCCGTTCTCTAAAACCTTACTCATACTCAAAACTTGTATACAAATTAGAGAGGAATTTTTAGCATGAGTATGGTTTTGGAGTAAGGAGATTGAGTTTGAGCACTGAGTACATACTCAGAAAGTTTTATAACCTCCAGTCCAGGCTATTGTTGATATGCGCTTTCGGTAAATGACGTAAAAAATAATTTATTTATAGAATCAACAAATGAATATAAATCGAAATGTTTACAATATTCTGGAATTGAGAGGAAACGTTTAAAACTCTTCAAAAGAATTAGAAATGTATATTTTTTTTTATCTTTTGCGATACATAGTTACGTCAATCTGATTCAAGGCATATGCGCGGTTTTCTGCGCAGTGGCGCGAAATTTCGAATTAGGTCCGTCGTCCTTAAGCCTGTGTGGTCTGTCAAATGTTTTTATCATATATAATTAAAAATAAAGGATGGACTAATAATTAAATTAAGAGTTTTCATTTTGTTGGAAAATGCAAGGGTTAAAACTAATTCTGTTTATCAAAGTAAAACGCAATAATTCATCATTCTTTGCATATATAATTGTCATTCAATTTATTTTATCGGAATTAAAAAATTATATCATTTTTAAAAGAAAAATTGCGTCACAATCAACAAACCATGAAATCCTTTTCGCAATGAATATAAAGGAAAGTTTGTGTTACAGACAAGAAGAGCAAGCTTGAATAACAAAACACAACACAAAGAAAAGACGGAAGATACCCCCAGACGAATTCCTTGCCCACAGGAAAACGCCAAAGCACATATGGCAAATGACCAGTCTGTTGCTTTGATATCAACACCAAATTGGCAGCAGGTTTTTTTTTAGCTCACCTGAGCTGAAAGCTCAAGAGAGCTTTTCTGATCACCCGTTGTCCGTCGTCCGTCCGTCCACCTGTCCGTCCGTCTGTAAACTTTTCACATTTTCAACTTCATCTCATGAACCATTGGGCCAATTTTAACCAAACTTGGTCCCCTTCAAAGGGGAGATAATCAAGAAAAGACAAAAATTGGGTGGGGTCATCAAAAAATCTTCTTCTCAAGAACCACAGGGCCAGAAAAGCTGAAACTTATGTTGAAGCATCCTGGGGTAGTGTAGATTCTAAATTGTTCAAATCATGACCCCCGGGGGAAGGGCGGGGTCACAATAGGGAATCCAAGTTTTACATTGAAATATGTAGTAAAAATCTTTAAAAACCTTCTTCTCAAGAACCACAGGGCCAGAAAAGCTGAAACTTGTGTAGAAGCATCCTGGGGTAGTGTAGATTGTAAATTGTTCAAATCATGATGCCCTGGGGTAGGGCAGGGCCACAATAGAGAATCCAAGTTTTACATTGAAATATGCAGGAAAAAAATCTTTAAAAACCTTCTTCTCAAGAACCACTGGGCAAGAAAAGCTGAAACTTATGTGGAAGCATCCTGGGGTTGTGCAAATTCTGACCCCTGGGGGTAGGGCGGGGCCACAATAAGTACTACGAGGGGGATCAGGTGAAAAACAGCAAGGCCAAAGTTACTCAGGTGAGCGTTTGACCCATGGGCCTCTTGTTTCAGTTTAATACGGATTAAAATTCCCAAATTGGAAGCATGAACAACAACAACAACAACCCCCTCACCCCCGGAATGGCGTGTCAGCGATGTTGAGGTCAAGGCGGTCTTTTACATAGTCTTTTTCACATTCATTTGATATCTGCATGTGTACCCTTCTAAGATGTCATAATGTTGATCCAGCGCCGGAGTGTCAAGCGCCTGCTTTCCAATTTGATTTTTTATTCTGTACTTTTGTAAAAGTTGTTTTGTTTCATTTCATCTGCCACTTTACGTGACTAGATACTTTGTTTTACACATAAGGTTACACATCTCTAAATCATCGTTACAAAGTATTTATTTAAGATCAACACTATTGTCTGAGCCACGGATCAACACTAGGATCAACAGTAAGATCAACACTATTGTCTGAGCCACGGACAGGTATGAGGGGAAAAATAGTATGATACGTCAGCATGCTTCTTGAACTATCATATCTACATGTAATTCCTTTTTTTTGGGGGGGGGGGGGGGGCGAGGGGTATTAGTGATGAATTAGATAATTCTCAACAAGGGAGACGTTCATCGTGATATTTTTTTATTATGTGTAGGAATCGATTCTAAAAATGAATTACAAGTTGTTAACACCATAAAATAAAATATATGTATGTTCTAAATTGCCATCTATAACCCCCCCTAATCTTGCATGACATCCAATAGTGATTCACCTTAGACCTGTTGATGGTGTTGTGCGTGTGGGTGGGTGGGATGGGTGATGGTTAGAGGCAAGAGTTGCTCCCTCTGATTCTGAAATTTCTGGATCCGCCACTGAAATACTTGATTTAGTCAGAAGTCATCTGCTGAAAACAAACATACTAAACTGATCAAAAATTGGCAAAATTTCTCCTTGGATAAGGCGTCCTTTTTTGTAGAATTTTTCCGCATTGCTTGAGTTTATTGAAGACAAAAATCAAATGACTTCTCTCCTGTGTTTCATTGAAATAGTGCCACGCTGTGGGTAAACTATGGCAACTTTTACATGAACATTATCATCAATCAATAAAAATTGAATTTACGGATTACATGCTCTATTTTGAATGAGTTGTTAATTGATTCATATTTTTTTCTGGTCGCGCAGGCATACAAAAAAATTACGTCGCAGTAACATTATATAACGTCATGATGAAAATATAATACGTTTGTTGGAAAATTGTAAAATTTTAAAGTCCCCCCCCCTCCAAATATTGAGCTTGAATACATATTAATTTCTCTTACTAGAACGACTCTAAATTCATTTCACATTCATTGTGTTGAGTAAATTAAAATTCGTCTGATTTATTTTAATATTTTGAGCATGGTTTTGAAATGCGTATACCGGTGTGAAAGGCGCATTTTACTAAATACTTCACTGAGGTAGCGTCACTTATTCTCATCAACATTAGTGCATTTGAAATATTATTACAATATACCAACGCAGACGAATCTGAAAAAAATTCAGAAATAAAAATTTGAAACGAATGGATTTAGCTGACATATTTTTAGCGTTTGTTTTCAGACAGACAGTAAACCCGCGATTTACCTTAAAGAAGACGTAAAGGTCAAGCCTGTTACTTTCGCTTCATGTTTCTATTTGAAAAAAAAAGCATCTTGCATGATTAGAGATTGCTTTTCTGCATCGTAAGCAATGCAAATGCGATGCTAAGTTGTATGAAATAGAAAGACAAAAACGATATAAATGTCATTAAAGTGATTGGGGTATCTGGCCATCAGTATATCCTGCACACTCAGCTAGGGTGGACATCCCTTATCCGTAATTCCTCTTGCAAATTTATGCTATTTATTTAAGAAATAAATAACAAGTTTAACAAGATGTGTTTGTGAAATACTGATGCCCCCGTATGGCAGCTTATGGCGAAGGTTAAAGTTTCTCAAATGCAAGTCAAAATCCAGGCCAAAAGATAAAAAACGTTGGTACCCAAAGAAGGTCTTCTCTCGAGGAATATACCCGTGAAATTTGAAAGCCCTAGCTGCAACTGTTCAAAAGTTATGTCAAAGGTTAAAGTTTTTTAGAAGTAAGTAAAACGTCAAGGACAAGGTCAAAGTTGTTGGTATCCTAAGGAAGGTCTTGTCACAAGGATTACATATGTGAAGTAAGAAAGCCCTAGCACCAACCATTCAAAAGTTATGACCAAGGTTAAAGTTTTTCAAAAGTAGGTCGAACTCCTATGTCAAGGTCAAAGGGTCAAAGTGGTTGGTATCCAAAGGAACGTGATGTCACAAGGATTACATATGTGAAGTATGAAAGCCCTAGCACCAACCATTCAAAAATTATGGCCAAGGTTAAAGTTTTTCTAAAGTAGGTAAAACTCCTAGGTCAAGGTCAAAGGATCAAAGAGGTTGATATCCAGAGGAAGATCTTGTCACAAGGAATACACATGTAAAGTTTGAAACCCCAAGCACCAACTGTTCAAAAGTTATCGCCAAAGTTTTTCAAAAGTAGGTCAAACTCCAAGGTCAAGGTCAAAAGGTCAAGGTTGTTGGTATCCAAAGGAAGGTCTTGTCACAAAAAATACACATGTGAAGTTTGAAACCCCAAGCACCAACTGTTCAGAAGTTGTGGTCAAGGTTAAAGTCTCATAAAATTTTGCAAAAGTAGGTCAAACTCCAATGTCAAGGTCAAAAGGTCAATTATGATGGTACCCAATCGGCTTGAAAGGCGGTTACGCTTCGAATTCAAAGGATTCTGTTTCAAAGGGAATATTTTTTGAAAGGCTACTTGTGATCAATTATAGTGAGCATATTGGTTGGTGTCTGGGAATTTTTGTATTCATGAGAACCCATATTTGATGTTAAAAAAACAAGAAACACGTCCGATGTTTGATAATAAAAAGTTGGAGGAATTTCGATCTGAACGGGATGGATGGAGACACTTGTCCGAGCCATTTAACTTGAAATCAAGTATAAAATTTGATCAAAAACATCAAATCTAAGATTTCAGTAACTAGAGAAATATTTATTATGATGTACAGATGTAGACACAGAGACACTGGCCACAGCTTACATTGTTACGACAACGCCGAAATATTTGTCAGCTGTTCGTTGCCTGATTGCAAGACATTGATCATGTCTTTATATTTTCCAACAGATTAACAACTTCATCGTGAGTAAAGTTGAAATGAAAAGAATATTTAGTTTATGATGAGAATTTAACTAAAGCCAGTAAAGGTCTACAAAAAATAAGGGTAAACGTAGAGACAGTGCAGCTGTCATAAAACTTATACACATAGGCTAGTTTTCTATTGTCTATGAAATCGATCGCCAAAAACTGTATCAAATACTTGTTTACATTGTAAATATGTGGTAGTTGTACTTTTTATTTTTAGGATATTTATTTTAATTATTGTGTAGATTATTCTCATTTATTATTTTATTCATTTATTCATTCACTCATTCATTCAGCGCTGCGCAATGCGATATGCTAACACTCTATGTTGTCTTTGTTCAGTGTCTGTTATAAACCTAAACACCCCTATTTTAAATAATGTAGCATTCCAGG